AGTTGCAAGATGCCCATCACACCTCAGGGAATCAGGCACTTGTGGATTGGCTGACAGCAGCCACCAGGACAGTTGGGCCTAATCAGGGTGATTTATCACACTTACCCACTAGCTGGAATATATATGCAGAGCTCCGGTAGGTGTCACGGGACTTGGGCATGAATAATATCATCTGCAGGATGGACCTCCATGGCCCCAGTGAGGAGCTGTGCACCACAGGAATGAGAAATCTGGTGTTCCATGCAGCTCCCCCATCTCTCCTTGTGTCCCTAGTGACTATTCTTGCCCCCCACATAGTGCAGCCTATGAGTGAGGCTACTCATGGTTTAGCGGATCTGGGGTCTGTTGAAACAATGAGAGCACATAAGGAAGTACAGGCTACAACTGAAAGGAGAGGTGCGAAGGGCCCCATGAAGGTCTTGAGGACCCAGATGTGGGTTGATTTGGTAAAGGCTGGGGTCGTGAAAGAAAAACTTGATGGCCAGCCCAATAGGATCTTGTTAGAACTGTGGCATGGATTAAAGCCAGAGTAGCACTTCCAGCTGCTCAGGTCCAGGACACGGAAACCGGATCCCAAGCCACATGTCGAGCCTGAGTCCCTGCCAGACTTCCTGGGGAGAGTGATCAGGATCCGTGTAGGTCCTTAGCCCCACAGGAGGATGATTGGGTGTTGCAATTCGACTTGGGGTTGGGTCAAGGCCCCCACCTTGGGGCACATGGTGGGGACTGGAGGCCCCATGTAGAATTAGCAAGTTATTGGTCACCTTTGAATGAACAAGCTGTCTTGGTGCTGGTGGAAAGAGGAGCTGAAAGTTCTGTGATTTCTGGCAACCCTGAGCATTTTCTTGGGACCCCTGCTGTGACAAATGGCTTTGGGTGTAAGGCATTTAGAGTAAAGAAAGCCCCAAACCCATTGGGGATAGAGTATTTATGCCCAAAGTAGTATCCTTTGTACATTCCTCACAATGCTGAATCTATTTTGGTGGTTGACATGCTGCAGGGCCTGTGGTTACAGAACACTGCAGGTGAGTTCAGACTGAGGGTATGTGTGGTAAAGAGAGTTCTGAGGGGACATATTCAGTATCCACCTGTAGATCTGCCTGTACCTCAGTGGGTGATAAATTCTGAGCAGTATAAATTTCATTGAGGACACAAGGAAATTGGAGATACTCCATAGGAGTTGGAGAAGGTGGGCATCATAAAGCCCACTCATAGTCCTTTCAATTCCTCAGTGTGGCCAGTGAAAATGCCGGACTGCTGTTTGCATATTACTGTTGTTTACAAGGAACTGAATGAAGTCACACCGCCTTTGCATGCTCTTCTCCCCTCTATAGCAGCCATTATGGACACCCTCAGTCATGAAGTAGGGACATATCATCAAGTTGTGGGTCTTGCTAATGCTGTCTTCTCTATTGACATAGCACAGGAAAGTCAATAACAGTTTGCCTTCATGTGGGGACCCTGGCAGTGCACATTTATAGTCTTAGATTTAGAATGGGCAGTTCCTAGACTGCTGCAACATCTACAGGAGAAAGGATGGGCTGTGAACAGCACCAAGGTTCAGGGACCTGGTTTGTATATGTAGTTCTTGGAGTTGTCTGGTTGGGCAAAATAAAAGTTATGCCAGAAGCATAGACAATTCCAGGCTTTCCCTACCCCCTGCCACTGTGGCAGGATTACAACAGATTTGGGGTCTGTTGGGCACTGGAGAGTGTTCATACTGCACCTCACACAAATTCTGGAGCCCTTATACCTGTTGGTACAAAAGAGCATCAGGTGGGTCTGGGGTGAAACATGTGCAGCTGCTTTTAGTACGGGTGAGTGAGCAGTCACGGCCGTACAGGCCTTGAGTGTAATGGACTCACAAAGGCTCTGTGTATTAGATATTCATGTAACTGAAGACTGTTAAGGATGGGGCCTTTGGGAGTGGCTTGAATGGACATGACAACCTATTGGATTCTGGTCACAACTAGGGAAAGGAGGAGAGGTCCAGCGCACCTTGAAAGACAAGCAACTGGCTCCTGTTTACCATTCCTTTCTGGCAATGCAGCCCATCACTGGAACAGCTCTGACCATGGTAACAACTATCTATCCCATTGTGGGATGTGTGCGAAATTGGAACCGAAGGCCGTGTAGTGGCGTGGCACAGACACCTACACTGGCCAATTGGGGTGCATATTTAAAGCAGTGTAATGCCCTCTCTACTAGCCTTTTATATGGAGAACTCTAATGCTAATTAAGGCCAATGACGTACACCAGTGGAAAGCTGTAAAAATTTGTTTTTGAGCTATTGGTAGCCAAGAGTCTTAATAAGGATGGAAAATCCCATATACCTGAAGATGCTTGGCATACAGATGGCTCCAGTCGTGGGCAGCCCCAAAGTGGAGGGCTGTGGCTTTCATCCTAAGACTGAGACTATATGGAAGGAAGACAGAGAGGGGAAGGGTAGTCAATGGGCTGACTTGCTAGAAGTATGGACCCTGACCACCCAGGAGTCCCCTCCCCTATAGTTGTCTGCACTAACCTCTGCGCCATCTATCAGGGTTTCCCCCTGTTCCTATTGACATGGTAACATGCCAACTGGATGGGTCACTGGCCCCTTTGGGGGCAAGAGTTGTGGCAAGATCTATGGGCCTGTGGTGAGACTGAAACAGTTACTGTATTTCATGTGAGTGGCCGTTTTACTTTGGCATCCCCAGGGAACGATGAACCAGACACAATTGCCCAGGTGCTGTTGCTAGAAGGAAAGCCTGCCTCCGATGTGGCCCAGTGGTTATATCAGCATTTGTTCCCCATGGGTCAAAAGAATGTGGGCTGTAGCCCGTCGGTGGGGCTTGCCATTGCCCTTTGAAGGAGTCAGCAGAGCCCGGAAGGAGTGCCTTGTGCACTCCAAGAGGACTTACACTGAGTCCTGTGGCAACATGTGACAATAGTACAGGGACCAAAACCCCCTGTCAGGTGACAAATGGACTGTATTGGACCACTGCCTGTGTCAGAAGGGCACCAATATACCATAACTTGTGTGACCACAGCTACTGAACTGTTGGTTGCTTTTCCTGCTCTTCATGCAGATCAGCAAATGACCAAAAGGGTCCTAGAGGGTCTCTGTGCTGCCTGTGGGCAGCCTTGGTTGATGGAGAGAGATCCAGACACCCACTTTACTGGACATGCATGAGGAGAATGGGTGCAGCAATTAGGAATAAAGTAGAAGTTTCATGTCCCATACAGTCCTACTGCAGCAGGTCTGACAGAGAGGAACCATGGTTTGTTGAAGTCTGGTCTGAAGTCAGACACCAATAGTTTATGGCACTCGTCTGTTTGCCTATGGACAGTGCTATGGCACTGAATGAGAAGCCCCAAAAGGAGCCTTGAGCCCTGTGGACATTCTAAGACACATTGGTGCCTCTCCTAAAGTTCTGTATGTACCAACCAAAGAATAGATATTGAAACCACGATATGGCCATCGGAGCAAAATCCCGCTGCTCGCCCCAAGTGCATTAAATGCTGGAGACAGTGTTGAGTGGACATGGCACTGGACTTCTCAACGCATGGACCCACAATGGCTGGCCCTTTGGCACATTGGGAAAAGGCCTGGAAGCTGGCCACACGTTCCTGGAGTAACAATAGTGTGGCCCCCAAAGATCACGGTGGTGACAGCATCGTATGGTAAGTTTTATTTTATATTTATGGCCAGTGCACATACCTAGCATAGCCCTATATATTACTCATCTGTAACTCCCACAGGGAGAGGGGTGAAAGTCTGGTATGCTAGACAAGTACGAGATCCTATTCCTGCCTCTGTCCTATCACATGCATCCCACCTGATGGACAAGATTTGCCTAAGCTGGTGTCATTAAGGCATGTATCTTATCTCCCTTAAGGTTATTTGCTTTTAAAATCTCTGTGTCCTGTACATGCCCCCTGGCTGCAGCTGCTGGGTGATGATTGTTTTGAACTCCTGACCCATTCCGCTACTGACTTCCTGTGGAATGGGTGAGCTATGGACTTATCAGTGTAGGACTTTGAACTAGGTGAATTCTCCAGCTTGAGGAATATCGTGATTGTATTGCTGTTGTTATTGTATCTTATTAGTCTGGTTACACTGCTCCAGTTTTCTCACATAGGGCTGCTTGTGGAAGGTGAGGAGTGAGTAGATTGTTAGGCGAGATTTCTGGACGGGTGGCCTGTGGGTAAAATTGTAAGATTTGTGGAATCTCTAGCCTGGGCTTAGTGCATCTCCATATCAACAGGTGTTTCCAACGGGTGCAGAGAGGTAGTCCATCTCCATACAATGGGTAGTTACAGGGGAACTAGGGCATATCTGGACTGGAGAGGTTGTGTGGCAACCCTTTTTGCAGCCGGGTCATGAAAGACATGGGTGAGTAGACATGGACAGATGCTTGTAAGCAATATATGAGTTTCTCCCACTTTATTTCTACCTTTGACTGATTTTGGTTTCAAAGGTTTTTTGCCCTAGACTAAGAAAATATCTCCCCCTGAGAGTTGGAGTCAGATTGTTCCAGAAAGTTCCTAATGGAAAAACTCTTGGCTCACTTGTACACAGTTAGGCACCTTGGACAAACCTGGGCACAGCACTCATATGATCTGGATGGAGAGGTGGACAGGCATGCTACCCCAAATCAACACATGGTAGTAATGGCTCAGTGTGTGGTGGAGATCCTATTCCTGAGGATACCCTGAGTCATTGGCTTGGCTGTGGGCCCATCTCCCTGCAGAATGGATTTGATTTCCCTAAGATGCAGTGATATTACTTGAATAGGTTAACTGTTTCTGGGGACAAAAATGATCGTTGTGCTTCCTTAAGAGAAACCCAAGAAGGAGAGTTAGAGAAAATAGGTCCTGTGATTAGACTTTCACTGTGGGCAGGGTTCATGCCCTGGTGGGAGTCCAGGTGTGCTCCAGGTGGGAGAGGTATGTATGAGCTCTAACTCTGTGCCAGACCGATGATTGGTTGTTTCATTTCGTGATTCTATAATCCCTAAATCTACAAAATGTCAAATTTATTGGTTCTGTTCCAGGTCAAAGTTAAGAAATGGTATATCTAATAAGCTATTATATTTAACCTCTGGAGAAAAAAGAAATTTTTTTGTGATACCAAAATACATTTACAGACCAGCAGCTGAGAATCAAATGTCCTATCACAGAAATTGATTTTAGTGCTATATCAGTTTAGACAAACAAGTTAAGGGAAGGAAATTCACAGCTCTGTTGAGGTTGAAACTTGCAAGGTCAACATCCCTTTTAAAATAAGGGCCCTACCCTTGCTTCAGGGGCCATCACTTTTCTTTCTAATAAGTTTGCATATGTTTAATGAAAAATAGTTATGAAATCTGGACCTAATCCATGTTCATTCTACCCCCAGTTATTTCAGATTCCTTCATGGATGTGTATTTCTTACAAAGGCCGTCTGAGAATTCACACTTTGCTACCGTTTCGATCTCAAACAGTTTGGTGTGAAAGCACAGCTATGCATTCTCTCCTTGGTTTCATGCAGGTAATAAAACAAGAGGCTGGTGAAGTAGGCATCAGGCCTGTTCCATGTAGTCTGCAAAGCTGAATGTCATTTGTATCTGGCTCATTCTATACTGTTTGCCAACCCCTGAGTTATCCTGTCCCTTGCTTTGGCCTAACCTTTATGTCATTAACTCCCTGAGCTGGCTGGCCTGTAAACAATCAGCACAAACAGACATTTGTAAAGAACCATTTATTCATCTAAGATGTTCATTCATTATTATCATCTTCCCACTTTTTGACCCCTTTTATCACAGAGGAAATTACTAAAGATTTCACAGAATTGGTATCCCACTCAGAGTGAGTACTCCATCATTCTTATTGTTTGTTTGCGCTAGGACACTTTTGACAGTATTAAGGTCCTTTTGGTCAGTCACAGCTCTCCATATATTTGCATCCATGCAGGCAGCTCTACGCCAGGTTCCCATTGTACAACATTCTTCTCCAAAACAAACTCTCCGTGAGGGCCTTCAGCTTTTGATGGCAAAAGGGCCAAGTACACGGTGGTCTCTGCTCCTTCCTTTGGGCTTTTCAAGGCCTCGGGTCCCCCTATGTCGGTTCTGACCCATCCGGGACAGCAGGAATTCAGGAGTATCTTGTCCCCTGTCCTCTGCTCACTCAGTTTCCGGGCCAGGATTCTGGACAGGACTGTGAGGCCGACCTTTGACACTGCATAGGGAACCAATTTCATAGAAGGTCAGCCCTCCTTCAAGTGCACTCCATTCTTTGTATCTTCCACAAACTTGTTCATGAGCCCCACCAGCTCCTCCTCTGTGATGGTCTCATTTGTAAACTTCTGCTGCAGTTCCAGGCTGCAGGTTTTAGAGCTACCAAGCTCAGTGTGCTAGAGAGATTCACCACTCTGCCTAAAATTCAACAGATACGAGTAAGTAGAAAGGCGTGCACAAGAATGATAAATACCAAATATGTCTGGGGTTTGTTCTTTGCAAGATCATTACTAGCTGCTGTGAGAATTAATGAGGACTGCCTGTGAGAGTAAAGGACATGATGCCATCTTGAAACCTGCCACAAGTGTCACTTTAAGATGTCAGGAAGTGTTCTCATGGGAGGGCAGTGCCCACAAGGTCCAGAAGAAAATGAAAATGTGTATAATGAACATGCTAAGGGTTGTAAGGAGGTGCTTTTTGCATTCATGAGAAGACAGCTTTGTTCCCCCTAAGTCAGCTTGGGTCCACCTGTGCACCTTACAGTCACAGGGTCCGTGCTCTGTGAACAGGTGTCTCCTGACCAAGAAAGAGCCGATGGGTTTAGTGATGGCGGTTCCAAGGTGAATGCACAGCACGTGGTTTGGAAGGAGGCTGCTCTGCTCCAACCAGGGTAAACAACACAGCTCAGTGGGCTGAATGGCATGCTTTTCTGTCTAGTTTTATGAACTTGTGAGTTGTGACTAAGGGCCCAATAATATGGTCCTGGTGTGGGGCAGTGGAAACGTGAACATTTAAAGGGATGCTTGAAAAAGGAATGGCCTGCTGCCCCATGCTGCCACATGATGAGGCTTGAGCACATCGTGCCAAATTAAAGAGGCCAATTGCAAAGAACATATTATATGATTCTACTTATATGGGATGTCCAGACCAAGAAAGCTTGACACAGAATGCAGAATAGTGCCTGCTTAGGGAATGTGGGAAAAGATGGTGAATGGTTAAAGGGCCCAGGATTTCTTTTTGGGGCATTGCAGTGCTGTAATCTTGAATGTGGTGATGTTTCCACAACTGAGCATGAATATTAAGCATCAGTGAGTTGTAGCGTTAAGTTGGTGAAGTGCATGGTATGAGAATTATATCTCAAAAAGCTGTTAAAAGTGTAAAGCCATTACATGTTTCTCACTAATAATTTTGGAAAATATACTAGGTATTCAAAGATGAATTTATATTAACATTTATGAAAATTGGTTTATAATGCTCATATTCAAATCGATATGTAAAATATTATAAGAATGTCATGAGAGCATACTACCAAATAGAGACAAAGGAGCCTGGAAAGCTGTCTCTCTGCTGTGCACACTCAGGGAAGGCTGTCACCAACAGAGAATGGGGATCCCCATCCCACTGAAGGAGTTGTGGGGCAAAAAAAGAGAAAAAATGATAATCCATGGCAATATGATCCACAGTAAATAATCTGTAGAGACACTTAAAGGGAATGACATAAAGTTTTATTTACTGCCAAAAATCTTCTAAGATGAATAATTTAGAACCAGGTTGATATTTGTGACCTCCCTTTCCCATAGATCATGTAAATTGTAAGAATCAATTGAATCTATGTGTCAAATGTAGAACCCACCACTTAGAGGTCCTACTAGAATATATGTCATTTTCTAAAATACTGCTTAGCCACTCATAAAAAAATAATACATGTGTCTTGACTTCAAATTGCAAAATACTAGAGGGGATGTAGGGAAATAAAGCAGCAGGGAGTCAGCCAGAGCTGGTGACTGGAAGAGGAGAATGCAGTTGCAATCACACAGTCACACCAATTTCCCCCATGCCTTTAGTCTAGGCAGGAGATGGAGAAACTCTAGCAACTCTCTCTGGACTGTTTATACTGTATAGAGTAGGGATGACCTCTTCTCTATTCGGTATCATCCATCCCAGGAGGTCTAAACCAGCTGTGAAAACACTTGTCTGTGTGCACTGGGGAAGCCTGAACAGGGAGGCCACAGGGTTTGTGGTAAATTCCTGGATGTGCGGCTGCATCCAGGTCTGTCTTCCCCTAAGCTTTTCACCCCACTGGTCATGCTCCCAAGAAGGACAGGGGAGCCTTCTGGGGGCATCCCCACACAGCTGGGTGAGACTGTGGACCCTTGTGGTCTGACACCTCAGGACAGGAAACACACACAGAAGCTGGAAGCACTTGCTGAAGGTTACACAGCAGGAGTTGGATGCAGACATTTATTTCTCTGCAGTGTGCTCATGGCTGCCACAGGGCATTTCCTAGACACTCTACTGGCCTGAGCAGAGCCAATCCTCCATGAAGGGCTATAGGACGTCCAGGCATTATTTTACTACTGTGTGTGTGTATGTGTGTGTGTGTGTGTGTGTGTGTGTGTGTGTGTGTGTGTGTGTGTGTGAAGCAGTTGCCCTTTAATAGTCACTCTGATGGAGGCAAAAGCATGACACCAATTTAAAAAGAACCACTTCTCTGGTGGTGCTAATACTTGATTCACGCCATCCATTTTATCAGATCAATAAAGCTATTTTAGGGAAGCCATGTTTTCCGTCTAAAGGGTAAGTAAATGGAAACACCGTGGCCCCAAATCGGTTGAGGCCTTCCATGGACTGACCCTCTGGACTGGCTGGGTGAAGTTTCACCTGACAAATGAGACTCTTGGCATAAGAGATTTGAGGACCTTGGAATACTTGGAAGAGCAATCAGGCTGGAGACCACACGTCCAAGTCTGCATCTGGCTGTGCACGTGACCTTGAGACTCCTTCAGACCCCATGTCTTTTTCTGGACAGTATATAAAATACCCAGCCTGCTGCATCAGGATATATCCACCCACCCATCCGTCTAAACACAAATTGTCAGAAGTGGAAGAGAGCTTTAGCAATGTGATTTTCATCCCAGCTTCCTGCTGTGAATTTTTCAGACCACAGGAAGTTGAGAAGCAGCCCTTCTCAAACTGAATTTGGTTACAGTTTCCTCAAAGGAGTACTTGGTAAGTGTAGCCCTAAGAAGACCATTTATGTCCTCCTAGATGTCTTTAAGTTAATATCTGATGCACAAGAGTGTTAGGATTTCAATATAGGTATTACTCAAACATATAATTCCTTATATTTTTAAAATACATGTATAATATAATTCAAGGAGAATAGGACAAACTGCCTAACATTGTTCTTCAAATTCAGAATGACGGCAAGTTTATGTGAACCGGGAGGATATTGCTGGATTGGTTAAGCTCTGTCATGGGTACCTGGACATTGTAAACTCTTGTATTTTATGAGGTGAGTTATTTAAGAATACCTTTTGTTTAAAAAAAGAAATAATAAAAAGAAATTCACATGTATTCTTCCTCAGTGATCTTGAAGGTCACCAATCTCACCCCCTTCCTCTTTTGCCAAGAAAACCCAGATGGAACAGTGCTCTTCTGGAAAGTCTCTACTGCGGAAACCCTTCAGGACTTTGCTTTGCACTCTTTTATCTGGTGTGGGGGGGAGGGCAGTATTTGCTTTTGGTTTCCTAGCTGGGATTTCTCCCAGACTCTTTAGTGAAAATGAGCTAATAAAGTCAGGATTCCATTAACAATGTGGCTGCCTTTCCCCTGAAATGATGGCAGAACTCTCCTACTTCAAAAGATTACAAAACCTTGGTCTAATGCACAGAATATTGCATGAGTTTCCATTTCCACTATCTCCCGCTTTAGAGAGGGACTGTTGATCCTTTCATTTAAGGCTGATTTGGCAGGTCAGGAGTGCCATCTGTCCTCCACCTGAGACAAGGACAGTGCCTGCAACAACTCGCACAGGGCAGGTAAATAAAACACGTAAAAGAATTGGCCAGAAGTCCTTAGTATGCATTTTAACAGGAATACACATAGGATGTGTGGTTGTGGCGTAAGGAATGCCACCCTGCTCCCAGGTGCTGGGGTGAGTGTAAGAGTCAGGGTGCCATTCAAAAGAGCTGCATTTTGAGGCCTGACTGAGCTAAATCATGAAGATACAGTAGAACTTTCCCGGGGGACAGTACAGGGAACTGGGAAGAACTCAGAACAGACTGTATATGCATATTGTCAATTCCAAGCCAGAGCTTTAATCTTTCTCAAAGTATCTGCACGTCTTATTTGGTGTGTTGAGTGGGTGGTGTTTCCCCATCCCATCCCACACCTTGGAGTGGGTGGTGCAGGAGGTCACCTCCAAAGTAACATGATAGTCTGTTTTGCACAGTCTATTAGTCCTGGTAAAGGAGAAGTAACACAGGCCGGGACAAAGGCAAGTCAGATGAGAGAGAGACCTACAAGCCATGCTGAGGGCCTGGACTTTGCTCCTAAAGCACTTTATGGAGGGAGTAAGCATTCAGAGTACAGAGAATGCTCAGGAAGGAGTGGCCTCAATAGGAGGGTCCCTTATTGGGGTTCCAATTGCCTCAAATGACATCTGAGCATCTGTTGTAGGGCTGGGGGCAGAGGCCTGGGGAGAAACTCAGGTGGATAATACCTGGGGTCTGGTTAATGATAGTAGGAGGTGGTTATGGTGAGCTCTAGCATCCGAGGGGGTGGATTAAGTCAGAGTCCAAAAGGTTTGGGTAAGGGTGAGTGTACTTTGAAATGTATTATGTAAGGAGGACTCTAGGGGAGGGATGTGCGTCAGGACAATATTGACTGACAGTAACAGATAATTGAGTGTCACGAGCTCTGGATGTGTTCTAGGCAGCTGACAGGGTTTTGGAAGGCCTAATAAATTGGGGTGGAGAAGGCTCTGTTTGCTGGAATAAGATCACACTAGAGACAGGCGGGGAGGGCAGAGGGCAGGAAGCCATGCTCAGGGACCTGCAGGCGTGAGGGGCAGGGAGCAAGTGAAGGGCCTGTCGGGACAGCTGGACTGAAGAGTTGAAGAAGAGAAAGAGGCGGTTGTGCCACGGAGAGAAGCACCGATGGCCACTGACAAGTGTGTAGTCGTGGGAGAGGGGCCCCTGGCCCTGAGGAGACACACCCCGAGGACCAGTGTAGCAGAGCAGGGAGAGGGGGCCGTGCTGGGGACGAGGTCAGGGACAGCGGGGCCTGATCCTGCCAGAGACGCTCCATTGGGGCTGCTCACCAGACTCACCTTGGGGTCTCACTAGAGGCAGCAGCTCCGTGCAGACATCTCGGGTACCAAAAAGGTTGGTTTTCATGGCCATTTGTGCTTGAAAATGCAATCTTGTGGGATCATCTGTTCTTCCAGGAGCAAGAAAACAGAGTCCTAAATAGTAGCCATGTGGGATAATTCTGCAGAAAGATAGACTATTTTCTTGCCTGTGAAATGTGGTCAATTGTACGTAACATTTGAGTTCTGATAATGGTATTGTGTCAAGGTCAGTTTCCTGGCTCTTTAAAGCTACGAAGTGTGTAAGTTGGCACCATTAGAGAAGGCTATGAGAAGTGTGCAGGATGGGATCTCTGTGTGTCATTCTTCTCAATTTCTTGTTTATTTTGAAGTGAGTTAAAAATTTACTAAACTGCTCCCCAGTCCCATTAACAGAAACTAGACATGTGGAGGAGGCCCTAAGAGTCTGCTTTATGATAATACAAAGATCCTTTGCCTGAAAGCCTTGTATATCTTGGAGGATTTGAATGCCCCTGATGCCCGAAGTGTGATGTCTTTCCCTAGGGAGCCCGTCTGGTTTCTGCAGGACATACAGGCCCCACAGTGGCTCAGGAGAATCCCCAGCCCACCCTGGCTGGACACCCTCACAGAGGGGTCCCTTCCCAGCACCCATCCCTTCGTTACCATTGAAGCCTATCCCCGCATTGTTGACCAGCACGTCGAGGCCCCCGTACTCCTTGAGCAGGAAGTCCCGCAGGGCCCGGATGCTCTGCCGGTTGCAGATGTCCAGCAGGAGGAAGCGCGGGCTCAGGCCCTCGGCCTGCAGCTGCTGCACGGCCGCATGACCCTGTGCTGCGTGCAGCGCCGTGAGCACCACGTCCCCCGAGAACTGCTGGCACAGGCTGCGTACAATGGCCAAGCCAATGCCCCTGTTGGCCCCAGTAACCAGCACCACTCGGCTGTAGGATGACATGGCTGGGCTGTGTGGGGATGATGGTGTTGAAGGCAGACGGGCCTGCTAGCTGAGGGCATCGAGGCTGCAAAGGCCTGGCACAGTCCAGAGAACCTGCTCTGTAATGGTTTCTGGGAACCAGCGTTGTGATTCAGAGAGGGAAGACCCACCTGTGACCCTCCCTCCAGGAGGAGCCAAGTATCCTGGAAGGATTCGTCCTGCCCCCCGGTCGGCCTCTCCAGGTGAGGCCCCCTGGGCCCAGCAGGACACAGCACTCACGTGATCCCACTTCAGAGCCAGTAACACATTCTGGGTGAAGAGGTGCGCTTCCCCAAAGCAGCACAGGTTGGCGAGGGCTCAGTAGGAGGTGAGAGTCAGGGCAGGGGAGGGACACTGCTTTGGGAGGACCCCTGGGGAGCGGGAGCAGAGTGATGGCTGGGTCGGGCCCATCCCCCTGCAGAGTGGGTTTGCTTGCTCTTCCCCAAGAGGCAGTGAGGTGACTTGGGCCCAGGAAGCGGTTCTGAGGACAGTGAGCCCCGCGCTTCCTTAGGAAGAGAGAAACTCAGGAGACAGGATTAGGGACACTGGGTCCTGTGATGGGACGGGTGCTGTGCACGGGGCTGGTCCCCCAGTGTGAGCCCAGGTGCCCCCAGGTGGCAAGGAATGTGTATGAGCTCTCCCTGGGTACTTAGGTTTTGTTTGGAATGTGTCATTTTTCATGGTTACATAATCACTAGGTTTGCGAAAAGTCCTGCCTTTTCGTTTTCTCACGGGTCCAACTTAATAAGTGTTACGTTTACTTCGGTGTCATTTTTAGTTAATTAAGGTGAATAAACCATGCTTGTGGGATGAGAATACATTTGCATCCTAGGAGTTGAAGTGATCAGGTATTGATCTAGAGAAAAATGTTCCTCCGTGGCAATTCAGAAAAATAAATTCCAGGGAAGGACCTTCACAGTCGGTGCAGGTGGCACTGGGAAGGTAACCTCTCCTTTACAGTAAGGCCTTGCCCTTATCTTTTGGGGACCATCCCTTTAAATTCCCAAACGCCTGACATTCACTGGTGAAGAGTAAAAATAATCCTGAGAGCAGAGGCGTCTTTTAGTCTCTTTTTGGGTGCTTCTGTGAAGGAGGGCAGTGGGGTGCCCTCCCCGAGGCCCAGAGGCGCCGGACTTGGTGGGGGGCAGGGAGCAGCTCCTTGTCACTGCCCTGCTGTGTTAGGGCCACTCCCAGGCTCTCACGTTATCACTCACTTTCCCTTCCCGTGTGCTTCCAATGTTTGCATCTGTGTCCCTGCACTTAATCTTCACTGCACTCCTACGACCATCCTGACCATTTTCCTGTGTCCTTTTTTGTTGAAATATAGTTTGATAAACGATATGGGTTTCAAAAATACAACATAGTTATCCAACTATAATCCATGCTATTAAATGCTCACCCAACTAGTGTAGTTACTATCTGACAACATAGAAAGATTTTACAAAACTACTGACTGTATCCCTGTGCTGTGTTCTCTTTCTTTCCCATGACTAACCTAAATATGATTTGGATTTTGCGCTTCTTTATCCCCTTCATCTATTTCACCCACTTACCTCAGTCTCTTCCCCATGGTAACCACCTGTCACTTCCCAGTGTCTCTAAGTCTTTTTCTGTTTTTTTTCATTTGTTTCATTTTGTTCATCGTTTCCCATGTATGTAAAATCATAGGTTATTTGTGTTTCTCAGCTGGCTGATATAACTTAGCACAATACCGTCTAGG